TATTCAACAGCATAAAAAACATTATTTTTAGTATTAGTATTTTATTTTATGTTTGATAGAAACCAAAGATGATAGTTTCGTTTTTATATTGAATGAGCTTGCTTTTTCTTTTATATAGATTGATGTTATATTTAAATGAATTTCTCCCTTTCATTCTCAGGTATAGAAAAAACAACATAGAAATGTGACTGATATACTGTTGAACTACAAAAATATCGTATTCAATAAGTAATCAGCTTTTTCGAAACAATTTTTTATTTTTTTTTACTTTAATTAAATTAGATTTTTGTAGAAATCTACAAAAACGTAATTTTTTTAGAAAGAATAAATCTTCTTTCTAATCCATCACGTGTCGATCAATTTCACAACTGAAAATTCCGAAAGAACAATAGACATTGTTGTGACAAAAAGATTGAATTTTAGAGCAGTCATTTCAATTTTTCTAAATCTAAAAACTCTTAAATAGAGTCGTCATTTTTTAAAATTTGCATTCCTCCTTAAAAATTTAATGATGATAAGTAAGAAGAGAAGGTTAATGCTACGTAAAATTCAAAAATATGTACTGTATACTATTGTCCAATACTATTTTAATAAAAGTTATTATTTCGATGCATTTTCTTGGAACGTCACATCTTATTTTCTTCATATACAAAACAATTCTTTCACGAAATTGTTTTTCGCTTGAAGTCAACGAAATGTCCAAACATACGTATATACAAGATAGATTTTACGAATATCGAATGAACCCATAGTACTGCTTCTCGTTTGTGATAAATAGAAACGTATCAAAATATAAATGACCATCTAGATGATCGAAAAAGCTGTTATCACTTATCATACGAATATTGCTCTTTTTGTTTTTTATTAAATTCTAACGACGTATGAGTGCTATCTGTGGATCAAAAGGTCTTTCACCATGTCGAGCAGTCTTTTAAGCTTGTCTGTCATGATTTGCGATGGGAAATTAACTAATTTGTCTAAAATGCTCTGGTATGGGAGGTGAGAATTTTCGTGTAGATGGATATGAGTTACTGAACACTGACACTTACACTCAACGTATGAATGTTGTACTGTTTTTGAAGTTGATAATCCAGTCATTGTGAAATAAAGTTTTTAAAACAGTATTTAAAAACATAATGTTATAACTAGGGGTATTAGCTAGATTGTTGAAGACTTTCGGACTCATAGAGTAAAGCAATCGAAAAACTTCTAAAATGGATCGATGGACTTTTCCTCGTAAGCGTATGAAGTATTTTGCACCACCACGTACCAAGTATGACAAAAGGATATCATTTGACTTTCGTAATCTCTGGAGGCGACTATTTCTCCTATTGTATGATAGCACCCTCTATTTCGGTGTGTCTTTTGCTACTTCTTTTAAAAAAACACTAAAAGCATAGTTCGATAAAGAGAAAAGGTTTTCTCTATTTTTTTTATATTAGTACTATATTGAGCGCATCTCGAAAATTAACCTGCCAATAGTGGAAGATTTGCTATCGTTTCGCATATTTGCCCTGTTGTTTTTTTTTCGATTTTTGTTTTCGTTCTGTGCATTAGAATGAGAAGAATTAAAATATGATGCATCATGAAGTGTTGATGCTGCACGTGGGCAGACAATTTTCGTGTATAGTTGGAAAATAAAATACATAACAGCAGTGTTTCTAATGGTACGTGTATAGACAATGGAAGCAAAATGTACAGATATCTGTAATTGTAAAAATACACAATGGTTTAAAAAAGTATGTACCTCGCGCTTGACGAAATAATGTTTTGTTGTTGGGAATTTTACTAGAACGTATTACTCATACAATATAGGAATTTTCACTGTGAATTAAGCAGTTACATTTTTTTTTGAGATATTTTTTCTTTGATTGTGGGGATTTCTCTTGTAACAACACACATCTCCTCTCTCTGTTAATGTCTTCCGATATATTTTTCTCTGGTGTTTACTTGAATCAGCGTGTACACTATATTTTATTCTTAGATTTTGCAATTGAAATGCTGCATAACCATTTGACACTAAGTAAACTATCACATATATATGTCTGCTACAAATAAATCTCATTTTGAAGCGTTACCCATCGAAATAATTCATAGAATTTTCAATTATCTCGATGTAGAAACAATTCTATTTTCAATACGATGTACGAGTAAACACCTGTATTATGTCGCAAATACTTATGATCGGTATGAATTAGACTTTCATTACATGTTCAAATCTGATCTACCCGTCATAGCTCGTATTATTAATCCTAAAAATATCGTTTCAATAACGCTTTCGGATGAATTACAAACAAACAATCAAATTGAATTATTTTTTTCTCAATTTCGTATTGATCAGTTCATTCGGCTACGTTCATTGAAACTTATCAAAGTACAAGCCAGTGATTTGAATAAATTTAAAAACCACATAATGCAATGTTTACTTAGAACATTTTCAATTTCGTTAGATGGACTTCACCTGAACAGACATATGTCACTTATGTCATCTATCTTGTCAAATCATAATCTTCATAAATTCGAATTTAAAGGATTCTCTGATAGTATCAGTGAGCTACAATGGCCTAATCAATGTAGTTTGAAACACGTAATAATATATGAATGTCATTGGAAGACACTTTATGCTATTATTTCCCACTTACCTTATCTACAAACCCTTGTTATAAAATATCTTCGTAAGTACAGTTTCGATAATTCTGCTGTTATGGATGATTCTGATACCGATCTAACAACCAATTTAACATCGCTCTTATTAAATCATTGTACGAGTATAAAAATGAATGATGTTGAAGCACTTCTTTCACGATTACCTGCATTAAAACATCTTCGATTACTCTTTCCGAGTTGTGAACCTAATTCTAAATTATTTGATGGTTCTCGATGGGAGAAGTTCATTCAAACGAAATTACCTCTATTGGACAAGTTTGAATTCTCGTTCGAAGTTTTTAAACGTTTTAATTCAACTGATGTTACGATAGAATCATTGATTGCACCATTTTGAACTCGATTCTGGCTTGAAAATAAAAATTGGCTTATCAAGTGTAATCTTCAAGAAGAAATAGGTGGTGAAGTATTTCATCTCTATTCGATACCACTCTTTAAGAATTACGTCGAATATCCAGAGTATCGAAGCGGAATTCGACATTCGACATTCGACATTGAACATTGCTGACAATAATGCAACAATCATTGTTAATATATGTGAGTTATCTTTGGACTTGGACAAAATGACATTTAATGAATCTCAACAAAATGTAAGCATTATTTTAATAAGTTATCATTATAACTTAAAATTGAGTCATGTTTAAGATTTATATTAGATTTGCACTAATTGAATTTTAAGGTATTGTCTCGATTCAAATGATAGTTAGTTATTATGGACTTTTGGTATTCGTTCGTCATAAGTGATTAAGACTGTTCTCGAATGCACTATTTATTGATGAATTCAAACTCTAAAAACATACTTTCAATGAATGATCAATCAAAATGTTGTTGAGTTCATAACCAAAGTAGCAGTAAAGAGACAACTTGGCTTAAATCATGTTTAAATGATCTACTATCTTGAAATTTCTTCATGAAGAAATTTAGTATTTAGAAAATTCTTATACGAAATGGATACATTTTGAATTTTTTTAGCAATAAATTGCATCGAAATCGTCGTTATTAACATCAAATCATTTAAGATTCGAAAATATTTTTTTTCTGTATTGAAGAAAATCGTTTTCTGCTTGACAAAAAAAACATTAGTAAATTACTGTTCTGTGAATTCAAACTTTATACTGCTTGGTTCTCTATAAGGATAAAATGATGCACAAATAAAAGTCTGAAAGACAGTTATGTTTCTTTTTCAACATAGAATCTTTTTTAAGATCTGTAAAAAGCAAGTTGATTTCTTCATGCTTTCAAATTAACAACGAGAAATATTCAAAAAAAAAATATTATACAGAGGAAATACTTGACATCTAAAGCTCTTGAATTGTCTAACTCAATGTAGAATTTTCGTAAATTAATTTTTTGTTTCATTTGAATGTGATGATTCATATTTCCTATTTGAATATTTTTAAATATTCTACGTTGTTTTGTTTTTTACTTTAGAATAGTTCAATACCAAATTATTTCTTTCAAAATGTGACAAAGCTTTGTCTCAGCATCAATCAAACATGGTCTGTAGATTTAATAAAACATCTTTCAACAATTGTTAATCTATCGTGTCTTAAAAAATTGACGTTAATACTTTGGTCTAAGTCTGAAATTGTAAGTTTTCATGAAGGTGCTAAAATTCTATTCAATCAATCTTCGAATCTTCGTTCAATTGAACTAATGTGTGATTATAATACAGTAGGAAAGTTATTTCTTACTGATATCGTTTCAAATTTACCTTGCCATGTCAAACATCTTGAAACTAGTATTCTCAATCCGGAGCACGCGACAATGATATTGGAGAGAGCCGAATATTTATCAAATGCCAAGTTTCAAGTATTTAATGGATATGAATTTTGGAGTCATATTACTCGATGGCTCTCCCAAAGCGGAAGAGAAGCTACAATTCAGGAGGAGCTTGTGCCACATCATTGTGCAACGGCACCACCTACATGTAAGATGTACCTGTGGTTTGAAAAGCGCACGAATAAACAAATAGATACATCAGCTGAAGGCAAACGTATGAAGTTAATGCATCCACATAACTCGTCATGATATCATCTTTTGTGTATCCTATGAGTTTCTATCGTTCATTAAAATGTTAATCGATTTATTGCATAACTGATCTGCGAATAAAATTCTATATCTTTATGGTTATTGTCCTCTTCCTTTAATAAACATATTGCATGAAAATATTTATGCAAACAAAGCTTTTTTTCTTCATGATCGGTCACATATTAACTAGAATTATTCCATGAATTCATTAATTCTGATGTTTATATTAGCAAAGTGTGGGTGAATATTCAAGTGATTAAGATTTCTATGAATACGGGAACAACCGTTCAAAGAAATCTCAGGAGCTTTCTTAGTATTTGAGGAATATTTGAAAAATGATATGCCATGTATAGGACATGTCCCAATTTTATTTTATTTCTCATAGAACTTAACATTGGTTCAAACTTGAATTTTGACCTTGTTGAATAGAGACTTTAATCCTCAACGACATGACCGAAATATATATATTTCGTATAGGTTTTTCTTCTAGGCACAAACATGATAGAATTTAAACTTGCTAAAATATATAACGTGAAGTTCATGCTTTTCTATGGTTACAACATCGTTTGTCTGAACGTCTTGCTCATAAAAGCATGTACTCAGATGTGTTGTATCTCAAAGGATGGATTGAAACTCTTGCTTTGTATGCTTGTGAGTTTTTCATTCAACAAAAAAAAACAAATTTTAAATTGCAACTTAAGAGTATTTTTAGAAGTGATTATTATTTTTCCAATCAGAATCCTCCTGTGAAATGTTTACTCTCTTTTCATCAAACTCGCAATAAAATCCTGAGCAAATCAGTTTTCGAAATCAAGACATGAAATCCAAATATGTTCAAACACACTTTACAAAAATGTGCTGGACCAATTTTTAGAAAAAAATTTGTTAACATTCTTGAAACATAGTTTATAAAAATTTGCAGGAAGAATCAAGTTATTGATGAGAAAATCTACCGTCAAGTTTGTTGAAAAGTTGCCAGTAACTAATATAATCTCGCTGCAATCGATAGACCACAAAAAACAAGTGAGTGTCAGACAAAAGCCAATTTCAAAATGTTATTCTGGACATTTTTCTCGTTTCGCTTCAAAGTTCAGCACATATTTATTTGTAAATTGTTTTACGCTATTAGAAAATAATCGTTGGAATAAACTGTAAAATTATTTTCGTTTCTTTATTTAAGAATTATTATAAAATCTTTTTGAAACGTTACTTAAGACTATCAAAATGACATTTCTATTTCCTTTAATAAAAGTAATAGAACAATAAATTATTATATAAGAAAAACATTTATGTTCAAACTAATCTTACTTAGCCATTAGGTTTCTACTCCTTCAAGTATGTTCGTTATCAACGACGAAATATTGATCCAAATATCCAATGGGTTCAATTGGAAAGAAATGAAGATAATATAAAAATTTTTTCAGTTCGATAGAATAATGCCGATCTGAACCGGAGTTGTCAATTGTTTTCATGAGTGATGGAGGCTCAAATTTTCTTTTGGCAGAAACTACGCTCATTTTCGTTTAGTGACAACTTTTGATCACAGCGCGGAGAGAGAAACCATGTTTGACTGTCGATATTTTTCAAGAGATAGTCCACATACAACGAAACATATATACCCGTACTCACATTTGAACGTAGTTTAGCTTTAATATTGATTAATATTTATTATGATCAATCATTTTAAAATTAATTTAATTATTTGAATTAGATGAACATCTTTTTTGTTAATAAGAAATTTTGATTAAATATTGAACGTAACAATATTCGATACATATTTTATTTCATCTAAAATAAAAAACAAAAACAAAAAAATCGTTGCTGCCTTTTTTGTATCAAAATAAATTATTTTCATTTTGACTGAAATTCGTTATTTCAACAGATTTGATTTGTGAAAATCAACGTTAATTTTCATCGACACATATTGTATAATTGGAATTTTGAGATAAATTATGAATGCAATTACAAATATGACATCTGATGAAATTATTGTGGAATTATGTTCTAAAATTTCATTTATTGATCGTATAGGACGTAATTAAATTTGTCAATCTAAATGATTTATATTAATTTCAATAGGAAGTTCCAATGTTAATTTTTTATGTGATAATTAAATTTGATTAGTTTTGACCAAGGGGGAACAAACCGATTTCTTGATTTCCTGATTTCTAGTGATTTCCAGTGATTTCTGATAGCAATCAGATTTTCAATTTTGTTTATGTCATTCATGGCGAGGGAGAACAAACTGCTTTCTATGCTAGATATCACTAGAAATCACTTTAAAACCTTAAGGATTCGAATAGTGACTGGAGATTGTTAAAAATTATCAGAAACCCTCAGAAGCCATTAGAAACCGCGAGAAATCACTAAAAATCAATAAAAATTACTTTTAATTATAGAAAATCTTCATTAAAACAATTAAAAATAGAGTCTTGATTGCTATTGATTTCTAATGATTTTTTTGATTTTCTTGATTTTGAATAAGTGTCAATATTCCTAGTAGTGGCTCTTGATTGCTAATGATTTTCTTTCATTTCTAAGCATTTCCAATGATTTCTATTGATGCATGATGAACATTAAAGAATTGATTTCCAGTGATAGAAATCAAAGAAAATCAAGAAATCAGTTCGTTTCCCCTTGATTCAAGGGGGAGCGAACTAATTTCTTTATTTATTTCATTTCTAATGATTTTTCATGATGTCTGGTGATAACCAGTGGTTTCTATCACTGGATATCAGTTTTCGACTGTTCACCGCGAATCATAATAAATCAAGAGCTACGACTACGAATGCTGGCAATTATTGAAAATCAAGTGAATCAAGAAAAAAAATTAGAAACCAAGGCTTTACTATTAATCTTACTACTGGATATTTTCTGCGATTTAGTGATTTTCATTGATTTCTCATGTTTTCTATTGACTCCTAATGATTTTTAGCCACTTACAGTCATCATTTGTATACCCAGGTCGAGCATTACAATAACTAAAAACGACTGTAAACGATATCGTATATCATCGTTTTTCACAGTTTTCGGTCGTAAATCGCTGTAATTTATCGTTTGATATGCACCGTATTACGGCCGTATGATGACCGTACCGTTTACTATTGATAACGGTCATCATAACCCAGGTCAAATAATTTTATAAAATCTTCCAAAAATCTTATGCATCTTATGAAATCTTACAATAAGATCATAAAGTCTGTCTCATCTTACAAAAATCATACAAGAATCTTATGAAATTTGATAAAATCTTACTATGAGATCTTACATTAAGAATCAGCCTTTATGTTTCTTATAGAATCTTAC